AGGAGAAGGAGAAGGAGAAGGAGAAGGAGAAGGAGAAGGAGAAGGAGAAGGAGAAGGAGAAGGAGAAGGAGAAGGAGAAGGAGAAGGAGAAGAAGTTCTTGGCACCAGAGATTAGCGTGAGACAAGTGAGATAATAGGAGGTGGGATGATTAAAGTATACTACATGGATGTAAAAATCTGCCCCTAAAACAGATTATACATTTGTTTTTAAATTTTTTAATTTATTGGCAGGAAGGGAGTATCTGAACATTGAAGTTTCAAATAGATTTCATTTTAAAACTATAAACTTAGAAGACTTAAGGTGGTACATATATTTCACTTATGATTTATCATTTTAGTTTGCTAAATACCAGGGAATACAACTAATTCCACTCTCTGCAAATTGATACTGCTTAGATACTTTTCTTGTATCACAGAAAGAGATTATCTACTTATTAATCACTGAGATCAAGATATAAAGAAGGATTTGAGTATTTGCATAATTTTGTTTAAATATTTGATATATTGTAGGGGTATTTATTTTTGATTGCATTCTGATTTTCATAGAATAAGTTATAGGATAGAAACATAAATATAAATTGAATGTCTCACACTGTTCTTTTCAGAGTTTGACTAACCATATTTTATAATAATAGGCCCACCTCCTGAGTTTGTCACCACCTACTGCTGAACCATTTTGATCAGACCCTAAATTTTGAATCCTCATCATGACATTTTTGTGGAAGAGCTACCTGAGGTTTTGTCTTGACTGAGGCCTCTCCCCTGAATCATCAACCAGAGGTAGCCACCTTTTTTTAGAATGGGTGCATAAATCCAAACAGATATGCTGTGCAGTAAAATTTTATCATCGGGGTCCAATTATCTTCCAAATGTAAAATTGTTCCTTTAAAGTGTAGTAGTGGTCTCTTAAATGGAGGAAAACCTTTTAAATAGATGACATATTTCCATTGGACCTAATTTAGATGATCAGCTCTTCAGTAGCTTAATGCTTATAGAATTAACAAGTAGAATTTTGATCTGACATTTCAGAAGCATCCTATTTTGTCTTTGGTCTCAAGAACCTCATCTGGAAAATGGAAAGACTTGTGTCCACCTGACAGGGTCCTTGTAGGGCATAGATGAGGTAATGTGCATAACGCACCCAGCAGGGTGTAAGTCACACAGGACTCAGCGAAGTTACCACTCTTCTCTGGCCTTGTTGTGCTGATTTGATTTCTCCCTAGGGAACCATCTGCCTTAAATAACCCTTGCTCCTTGCTGGCCACAAACTGCTTGTCTTGTATGCTGCGAAGCAAAGGTGCTAATGTGCAGACTTCATGTAGATGAAGGGCTCATCCTGCTTGTATGAGATAAAAACTGACACCCACAGCACTGACCATGCTTTCAACTGTTTTGGAAGGGCTTGACCCAGTCTCCATTGACCTTTCTCACAATGAAAGGCACTCCAAACCTTTGAAACCATGTGTGAGCAGTTACTTACAAAATGCATTAATTAGTCTAACAAGATGATCTAAGACTCACTAACACTATGGCGAGAAATAAAAATCATACAATTACAACACAGTTCAAAACTTCCTTGCATACCATTTGGCAAATACGTTTGTAAAAGTGAAATTCAAAACTCCTCTAGTGTTCCAGGGTTTTCAGACACCTAGCCTGCCTGCTAAGAAGCCTCATCCAAGTCATCCTCCTCAAATTCATCATCCTTTGCTGCAGCTGCAGAATTCTACACTCTTAACCCCAAATACTCCATCCTTTCTTATTTCTATGCATCTTTATTCAGTATGCCCTTTAGCTCAGTCGTCCTTTCCTTCTATGCCTGATAACTCTCACCTACTTGCATCAGCAATTAAATAGACCATGTAGTGATGTTGTATAATATTTCACTCGGAAAAGTTATCTTTAAGATCAGCTCTACTAACCAGGCTATATTCTGTGTTCTGTTGCTATCCCGACTCAAGGCCAAGGCACTGT